CACCTCGCTTTTTAGACCGATGAGCTTTGTAAAAATCGACGCGTTTCAGAAAGGCGGGGCATAGTCTCGCGTAGCCAGACCTTCAGACTGACGGCTGAAGGTCTGGAACCCATGGCAGCTTTCAGTGGCCAAAGCCCACCCATGAGGCCATTTGACCGACATGTCAAACAACCAATCACAGTTTGTTTCGTTTCAGCGTCACGTTTCGGGGGCGTGGAAATGCCGCCACAATAACAGACTGGTGTGTAAAACTCTCGGACGTATTTGAAAGATTCTGTGCCGCAAACTTTAAATTTCACATACTTTTGAAAATCCAGCATTTAGTTGATCCTGATAAGCGCTCGTAGTCACAGTTGTAAACACGACGGCTTTCTTCTTTCGTGAGGGGGTTTGGCGTCACGGCATCATTGTTTCCAGGCGGAACGTTAAAGAACGCGACACATATGTTTCCCGGAAATCTTGTATAATTCAACCAATCCGATAACGACTTCGAAACTCCTGAACTGTTTCCCAAACACATTTCATTACACCAAATACACAAAATAATGTTCTTTTTAGCAACATCATATGACCCCTTTAATTTAAATTAATGTTTATATTAAATAATATTTATATTAATGCAAATTAAAATATTTCATTTGATTAACTTTAGGCAAGAAAAGTTTTTAAAGCACATTCCATGTAATTCAGTGCTTTACATAAAAAGGAATTAAAATAATTATCAAATAATCACAATAATGAATAAGAAATAAAAACAGAGAATAAAAATTATTTAAAAAATGATTATAAATGTATTAAAAGAGTTAATAAAAAAGAGGATACATTAAATATTAAATTAATATTAATTATTTAATATACACTGCAAAAACATTATCAGTAAGTCATGACAGCTGTTTTTTTTTTTTACTTGACTTTAACAATTTCGATTTCAGTTTTTATAAGTCATATGAAACTTTTTTTTTTTTTTAATGTACTTCAGTGTAAGTTGAATTAACTTGCACAACCAATTTGATTTAAGGCAGTAATTTTTGCTGGCACATGCAGCAAAATACATATTTTTGCTTTTTCATTTCAAAATGAATTGCACTGGAATTGGACTCTAAAAGGCATTCTGAATTCACTTCTATATAGTGCATGTCCCTGGTGCGGTTCAGGGATGCTGACTTGCCACAAATTGGCTCAATGGTGGTGTACATGACCAAAGTTCTGTTTTCGAGGTTCAGACTGATTCTTTGCTAACACAAAAACTGTTCTCTCATCTTACTTTCATGGCAAGCTAGGAGATTTTTTCCCCCTTAGGCTTTGCTTCAAGGCCGACAGCTGCTACACAGCTAATCGTTGAGATAGCGTCCGCTGATAATTGGTGCAGATTAGGAAATAAAGACCATTCGATGTAGTCTTCCCTGAAGACCTTGAGATATGAGCTTTAAGAATTCTTATCTCTCTTTTTCAAGTACAAATAAAGCGTCTTGTTATGGTTTTCAATGAAGCGGTTCATGCAGTGAACTCGTTCCATTATTAGTGAGAAAACATTGACACAAGATTAAAGGACGTCAGGGGACGTGATCGTACTTTACGGTTTTTGTTTCGTTGTGCAGATGACTAATGAATGGCTTCATATAACATCTGACCTTGAAGATCTACCACAGTTCAAGACCGTACAGTACTTTCAATAATCTGTGATTAAGTGTCATACAGACACAGCGGCGACAGGAAATCTCAGAAACACTTCAGCTCATGAGTCAGCTGGAGATGTATGACCCATTTTGACTCGTAAACATGATTTCACACACAACATATGGAGTATTTCCAGAAACACTAACACTAAATATATTTATTTAATATATTAGCTTATAGATATTTTGTAACTTTTAATAAATTAATGTTTGCTTTATGGACCATGGCGGAAAAACATTTTGTTTCCCAGAATGATCTAATTTACTCTAATATTTAATGTCAATATTTATTTTTATTAAATTATCTGAAAACAGTTTGGTGGACATTTTTAGTGCTGACTGGTAAAATTATAATTAAATAAGGAAGCTGCACTGAATAATTTGTTTTATTATTACACTGGTATTGGGATTTATACAGGCTCCCAGTGTAAATTATTTTTAAGAAACCAGGCAATGGCGAGTGAATAGAGAAAATATACTGTGCAAAAATGTGACCCTGGACCACAAAACCAGTCATAAGGGTCAGTTTTTTTAAATTAAGATTTATACATCATCTGAAAGCTGAATAAATAAGCTTTCCATTGATGTATGGTTTGTTAGATAGGACAATTTTTGGCCGAGATACAACTATTTGAAAATCTGGAATCTGAGAGTGCAAAAAAAAAAATCAAAATATTGAGAAAATCGCCTTTAAAGTTGTCCAAATGAAGTTCTTAGCAATGCATATTACTAACCGATAATTAAGTTTTGATATATTAACGGTAGGAAATTTACAAAATATCTTCATGGAACATGATCTTTACTTAATATCCTAATGATCTTTGGCATAAAAGAACAATTGATAATTTTGACCCACACAATGT